AAGTGGCCGCTAGTATCTACAGGTAGACCTTAAACCTTAAACCCTAAACCCTAAGCCCTCAACCCAAAGCCCTGAACTCTAGAGACTCTATGACCCTCCTAGGTAGCATTATGGAGACGCCCGCCTTAAAGAGGACCCTTCTTAACCCTACTTTTGGCTCTCTTAAGAGGGACCTTATTGAGAGGGTCTCTCTATCCCCAAGGGTCTTCCTGATCCTAATCCCTAAACTCTAAACCCTAAACCCTAAACCTTAAACCCTAAACGCTAAACCCTAAACCTTAAACCCTAAACCCTAAACTCTAAACTCTAAACCCTAAACCCTGGAAGCCTTAAGCAACTCGAAGAGGAAGTTTCAGAGCTCTGAGCTTCCGAGAAAGCCTGGATCCTACCCGAGTTCTGCTGAAGGGTTAGGGTTTAGGGTTTAGGGTTTAGGGTTTAGGGTTTAGGGTTTAGGTTATCATAAGAGGGTATTGGGGGTTCCTTATTACCTAGGAGCCCAATAGGTGTAACTTTATAAACGTTTTTGGTATATTAAACCCCTACTAAAAGACAAGTTTAAACTTTTTTGGGCCAGGGTATTGGGGGCGCTTTATTATAAGTATAGTACAATGTACCCCATTCTACTTATATCGGTTTAGGGGTTTAGGGTTTAGGGTTTCGGGGTTTAGGGGTTTGCTGGTTTAGGAATAGGGTATTGGGGGTCCCTTATTATAATTATAGTACAATATGCCCCATTCTACTTATATCGGTTGTCCTAAGGTTAGGTTTTCGGAGTTTAGGGTTTCGGGGTTTAGGGGTTTGGGGGTTTCGGGGTTTGGGGCTGAGGGGTTTAAAGGGTTTAGGGGTGTAGGGTTTTGAAGGGTTTAGGGTTGAGGGTTTAGGGTTTTGAAGGGTTATGGATTAGGGTTTAGGGCTTAGGGGTTTTCTACAAGAGTTGCTATAACAGCTAGGTCAGCATTCTGTAAGGGTTATTGCCATAAGGGTTACTTTTAACCCCAAGCCCTAAGCCCTACACCCTAAACCCTAAACTGCTTAGGGTTGCTTATGTAGGGCTTTCGGGCTTGGGCTGGCTTGGATCATCCAAGGCTCTCGACAGCACCGAGGATCTTTTGCAGCCGGGCGGTGATGTCGGTCTTGGAGGAGGCGGCCGAAGAAACCTTTCATAGAAGCCCCTTATAGAGCTTTCAAAGAGAGGCCTGATAGAACCTCCCTAAACCCTAAACCCTAAAACCCTAAACCCTAAACCCTAAACCCTTATAAACCCTAAACCATAAAACCCTAGACCCTAAACCCTAAACCCTAAACCCTAAACCCTAAACCCTAAACTCTGCCAGCAACTGAGTTTTCGCTTCCGTCCAAGGCTGGATTTCGGATGCCCTGGTGGCGGCCAGCCGCGAAGAATCCTGAACACGCTGCAATGTGGTTGCAGGGGTTTAGGGTTTAGGGTTTAGGGTTTTAGGGTTTTAGGGTTTTAGGGTTTAGGGTTTTAGTTTAGGGTTTTAGGGTTTAGGGTTTAGAGTTTTAGGGTTTCTCGTTTTGTTCTCCCGTATGAGAACCGAATAGTAGGAAAAAGGGGTGCCCTGATTGTTATGGGGCTACTGGGGAACCTAGTTCCAGTTTACACTGCAGTCGAGGGTTTAGGGTTTAGGGTTTAGGGTTTAGGGTTTAGGGCGAGTGTAAGGGGGGAGGCTTGACGTTTGCTGTCCGGCCTGAGGTACATAATCAAGTGGGCGTGGGGTGCATTTACTTGCGTCCACACAAGGCTGGCTGCTGCGTCTTTGACAGTCCAAACATGTCCGGGTATGGGTGCTGCTTGCGGCCAGAGAGCCCTATACCACTTGCTGAAGGCAGACATCTTGTAGCTTGCTTTAAGACCCTTGTAATATGGGTGTTGGGCTGTTTGGTGACCTGGCTTAGACGCTGAAAAAGCCGCGCTGTTCAAATCACGGCCCAAGCCTTTACCCTAGGCCCTGAGCCCTAAGCGCCAAACCCCAAGCCGAAGCCATGGGAAACAGCTTCTGCAAGCGGCGACGTGACGGTGAGAAGGAGGTCGGCGATCCTCGTGACTTCCACAGCAGCCTGAACCATGCACTTTCGAGTCTGGGCTCTTGTTAAGGAAATCTTCTTAAGTTATCATGAAAGGGATCTAGATTTAATTAGATGGTATGGTTCCACGGTTCTTGCGCAGACGTGTCTTTGAGGTTCAGAATGCGAAACACAAGCATAATAGGGTTCTGCAGTTCTGCAGTCAAGCACACAAACTCGAGATTATGTAGGTCCTGGGTTCTTGTCAAAGAGCTTTTAAAATGATCACGAAACCGCAACCATACCCTTTGCCGTAGGTCCAGTTTTCTGGTAACTTACTCTAACATAGCCCAGGAGTGCACTGACAAAGTTCGACAGTCTAAGCACCTACTTCGGGGACGGCATGACGGTGCAGGCAGTGGCTGAGATGCTCCAGCGAGAGATACGTGACTTGCTGGTGCTGAAGGAGCCTTGTTAGAGTAGATGATCCCTGCAGTAGTCCCCATAAAATCCCTAAACCCTAAACCCTAAACCCTAAGGGATCCTTGCGTTCCCTCCGCCATTTGCCTCCAGCGCCAGCAAGGTGAAGACCGTGATTTCCTGCCCTCCGGTCGCATGATGCCTTCGCAAGAGGAGCAGCTCCGAAAATTCGTAATGCAGATGGTCGGCAAGAGCAACTAGGTCTCCCAGTAGCACCCGTTTGCCCTTTTTCTTCTTGGGTTCTCCCCCGGTACTGAAGCCCATATTTCATTAGGGTTTAGGGTTTAGGGTTTAGGGATAATTTCATATTGTAGGAACAAGGGTATCTTTATAGCCCTTTATTATGAAGGGGCTACTGGGGAACCTAGGCTATGGTCTGTGGAAGAAGGGAGCCCCTCCCAGTGGCGTCAAGGCAGCCCAGGAAGAGGAGAGGGGGAAAGAGTCGGGGCTGGAATGGGCCAGCATCGACCATTACCCTGTCTGGGTCGTAGATCAAATCGAAAACTACCTTTCGGCAGAACCGGGGCAGCAGGAGATGATGAGGAGGGAGCTCGAAAGAACTCTGCTGGAGGAGCCTCTCTGTTCCGCAACTGTCAAGTTTGATGGTACGTGTTTCGGAAAGCTGGACAACGGCAATCTCTCTGGGCGCCGCCACCAGGTAGGTAAAGCCTGCGAAAGCTACCTCAAAACCAGCACCGCCGCCTGCAAAAAGTGTAACATCGAGCTTGTTCGTGCAGAGCTTTCGCGAGTCTTCGACGCAGAACTCACCCCAGGTTCTGTCTGTGTTTGGGGAGAACTTATGTGCAATCCTGGATACTACGATTACCTTGCGCGTGGGCTCGCTGACAAGTGGATCTGTTTCGGAGCAGTTGTGAAGATTCCCCAGGCGCAAGACCTTATGGCTTGGTCTAAGAAGCTAGACAAGCACGGCTTCGCACACAGCATCGCGGCAGAGGGCCAGAAAGTGCGACTATTTCTTTGTCCTGCCCTGCGGCAGCTGCTGACCAAGGCAGGCTGTGATATCACAGATGATGCGCAGCAAGCAACCCACGCCAAACTCGTCGCGAGCATGGCGAAAAGTCTTGCAGCTGGAGAAAACGAAGGGATTGTGCTCGTGTTCCGAAGGGGCGACTTCGGCCAAGCCTCTATTCGGAAGTGGAAGAACTCGGCTGAAGGCCAGGGTGTCAGCAAGAAGCACGCAGAGCAGCTAAAGAGCCTCAAAGCACGAGATCTCCAAGATCTTGGTATGCTGGATCCTCGGATTGCTGCTGGGTTCTTGTTAAGGAACTTAGTTTCAGCTACCATAATAATAGGAAGCAGACAGATTCCCTATATTTGGTCACGTTTACAGTAAATTCCTCAAGCCGTAAATCCTAAACCCCGAAACAGCTTGGAGTTTCCAAAAATCCTTGTTTTGGGGTCCTTATAATAAGGGTCCTAGTATTTAGGGTGCTATATTAGGGTCACCTATTTTCGGAAAACTCCGAGCTGAGCCTAGGCTGACATGGTGGAGACCATGATCCAGGTGGCTCAAGCAGCAACCGCCGTCCCGAAACTGGGAAGGAAAAAGCTGCCACTTGCCAACGCCAACATTTAGCCCCTGTTACACCATACTCTCATATGAGCCTACCCTACATTTTGAATATGAGCTAACATGAAGTCTAATTTTCAGGTGCCTCAGCACGGGTGTTAGGGGCTTTGGGAAGCAGTATGACAGACACTTGCCTGCTATGTACAGTGTACAGCAGTCTAGCAGGGACTGTGATATAGGTCGACTGTGCCTGCTTGGCGAAAAACTGAAGCTTGCCGTTTCCTGCACATGAGCGCAATTGGACACACATCATACTGAGTAGTGCTCCTCAGGAGAACCACTACGACTGCCACTGCCTCTGCTCAACTACAGCAACAACAACAACTACTACTACCACCGCTACTACTGCTACTACTACTACTACTACTACTACTACTACTACTATGCCAGTCCTGCTGCTACGACCCCGACCACCAGCAGCAGCACTACAACCATCTTTTACCAGGTTCTGGCTACCACTCAGTAAGACCAATCAATTCAAGCAGAGTTGTCATAGACAACTGGCAATAGCACTGGACGAAAGCTCTGAAAGCAAATACCCTTGCGAAAAGGCCTGGTGATCGTGAGTCGTGAGGTGGCACCCGCCTTGATTGCAAGCCGGGTGCTTGCCCAAACCAGACTTCCATTGCCTGCATATAATTTTACGTATGTCGGTGTCATCTTTGCCATCGGACTACGAAGACGGATGCGCAGTTCCAACATGTCCACAACAACCACCGCCACCACCACCAGCATCACCACCACCAACAACCACAACAACAATAATAACAACAACGACGACCAACCACGACAACAACAACAACAACAGCAGTTCATGATGCGGAGCGAAGGCAGAGATGACACTGTAATTGCATGCTTTCCGAGATGGACGACTGCACCAAAGCTTAGGCAGATGGCAGCCAGCACGAAAAACACCGAGTTGAGCTTCTAGCCGGCTCAGAGAGATTAGGGTTTAGGGTTTCGGGTTTAGGGTTAAGGGTTGAGGGTTTAGGGTTTCGGGTTAAGGGTTAAGGGTTTAGGGTTTAGGGTTTAGCGCTTTTTGTTCTTCATGGCAGCTACCTCTCAGGCAACGGTGCTTCTGCTGCAAGAATGCGAAGGCCTGCGCAGATATACATATAAAACATGACATTCAGCTCTTCACAAGGGCCCTGGTCATCCGCCCTCTACTCCGACGTTCCTTCGCACCCTTGCTGTGGTGGCAGCGCAGTTGAACGCCTGAAAAGAAGGCGCGGCATAGCCCGGCACAAGCTGTGGCTGCCTATTTTCCTTGACTCTGTGGGATGTGCCGATTCGCGTGGAGCAAGAGACGTCCTGGGAGCTGGAATCCTTGATCTTGGATTTCAGATTGGCCCTAAACCCTAAACCCTAAACCCTAAAACCCAAACCCTAAACCCTAAAACCCTAAACCCTAAACCCCTATGGGAAGCTCCCTAAGCCCTGAACCATCTAAGGCCTCAAGTTTCCAGCTCCAGGCGAGACTCTCCGCGAGAGCTCATGCGGTCCGGGTGACTGCTAGGATCACAGGGCAGCTTTCCTGCAATCCTATGCTGTCTGGACTTGAGAAGATAGAAAATAGACAAGCTTCTGCAGAGTACGGTGATAGAGCTCCAAATAATGATGAGTAGCAACATCCCTTATCGTCCCCATAAATTCAACCTACAATCGAACCCTAAGCTCTCTCACATCCTCCTATATACGCCGTTATACTCCCAAACCCTGTGACGTTCTATCTTGTACTAGAAGATACCCCCAAGACCCCTTGTTATACTTGCGCGACACGTATTCCAAGAAATCAGGCGGCTGCATCTCAACGAAACCCGAAACCTCGCTCCCTAGCAACCCGCTTACTACCCTTGGGCCCCATAGTAGTTCGATTTTGTGGCTTACATTTAGGATTCTAGTAGGGAATCCCAATAAGGAACTACCATGGGGCCTATGGGTGTAGGGGTCTTACGAACTAGAATAGGGTTTGGGGGATATGCTACTATAATTATGATAAGGAACCTACAACACCCTATTCTAATTATCAAGGCCCCTATACTAAGCCCTTATAGTAGCCCTTATAGAAACCCTTAAGGAACC